TTATATATCAAACCGTTAAAAGATATAAGCAAAACGAAATTTAAAAAACAATTTTAGACATTTTTGACATTTATAGACCACTCAAAAACAATTATAACTATTTTTTTTTTTTAATCAGCGGACTGAATTATATATAATATAAAAATAGCCTAATTATCGATCAATTTTATGTTTCAGAAGTTTCTCGGTTGGTATCCATGTATGTAATAAGAACTGAAATCAGATCGGCGTGCTGCGTAGCACAATCAGTAAGGTCCCTGACTGCCAATCCAAAGGATGTGGGTTAGATTCTCGGAGTCAGTAAAGTTTGAAAATTTTATTTACACTCATATATTATATAAAAATATGTATGTGGACACATATGTATACTACGTATATATAGCACATACATACGTCATATATACATGTAAAGAAATAATATTTTTAGACTCATTTACAAACAAAGGATGGAATTCAGTTACATATGCTTTAACATTCAGATACAAAAAAGGATTACTTATTGATTATGCTATGAAAAAAGAACGACTTATATTAGATATCAACAAATCCATAGACCCCACAACACTAATTGACCTAATTGCAACAGGTTTACCAGAATTTATTTTGAATAAAATAAACAGAGATGAACTTACAGATAGTTTCGATTTATTTAATGAAATTAGAAAACATGAAGGTATGATATATAAAAAAAACTTTACAAGAAACAAAGAAACTAAACAGGATTATAAAAAGAAGACTGAAGAGAGAAAGCCCTGCAAAACTTGCGAAGACTTGAAAAAAGGAATAAGATATCATCCAGAAGAAGCATGCTGGTTCAAAACAAAAAGAAATGAACATGAAAATATTAATAAGCCCAGAAAGGTTAATAATAATTCTATTATGGATGTAGATTTAAATACAGATCAAAAAAACGAGTAATTACACCATTAATTAGGATCAAACTGCTAATAGAAGATAAATTACAAGTAAATGGTATTTATGATTCAGGTTCACAAATCTCTATAATAAACTCAAGACTAGTCAATGTGAAAGAAAATAAAAGTAATGTAAATATAACATATATGAAAACGGTTGATGGTGTAAAGAAAACGGGTGGTTTGATAACTATTAAAATAAAAATTTTTGAAATTTAAGACAAAATAGATGTATACATTGTGAATCAAGATGATTTTGAGGATTTTATAATAGGGTTAGGATGTGATAAAAAAATTTTAATTAAGCCAAAATGAAAATTTAAAAATCGAACAGTAAAAAGAGGCATTTTTTAAAGAGCATCAAATTAACATAGATGAAAACTTTATCAGTAAAAAAAAAAAACAGATATAGATGAAAAAACAGTTTCAATTAATTTTAACGAACATGTACAAGAAAAAGAATTTAAAATTAAAATAGACCATTTAGACCCAAAAGAACAAAACGAGATAGAGAAATTAATGGAAGATTATAGATCAGTTTTTGCAAAGAATAAATTCGATATTGGAACGGTTAAAGACTACGAAGCTCGGATAGATTTATTGATTGATAGATACTGCAGCAAAAGACCATACAGATGTACATTAGAAGACAAAAAAGAAATAGAAGAGCAAATATCTGAATTATTAAAAAACAATTTAATAGAAGATTCCTACAGTCCTTTTGCGCCTCTGGTAACATTGGCATTCCAAAAAGATGAGAATAGAAGATCAAGACTATGCATTGACTTTAGAGACCTAAACAAAATTATTGTACCTCAAGCCCAACCATTTCCACTAATAGATGATTTGATTTTAAAATGAGGAACTGTAAATTTATCACGACACTAGACATCAATTCAGAATTCTGGTCAATACCCCTACGCATTGAGGATAGAAAAAAGACAGGATTTGTTACACAGAATGGACACTTCCAATGGACCTGTTTACCATTCGGATTAAGAACATCACTAGCTATTTTTCAAAGGATTTTATGCAACATCTTAAGGAAACACAAACTCACAAATTTCATGGTAAATTATATTGATGATATTTTAATATACTCACTATCTTTTCAAGAACACATTCAACATATAAAACAAGTGTTACATGCAATAATTATAGAAGGTTTCAGATTGAAATTTAAAAAATGTATATTTGCATCAAATTCTATAAAATATCTTGGTAATATAATTGAAAATAACTCGGTAAGACCTTTAAAAGACACTTTAACATCAGTAAGAAATTTCCCAACCCCAAAAATACAAAAAAAACATAAGACAATTTTTAGGCAAAATAAATTTCTACCATGAATATACACCAAAAAGTTCAATAATATTAGATCCACTTCACCATCTTTTAAGAAAAAACCAGAAATTCATATGGACAGAAAAATGAGAAGAATCTTTTAATCATAAAAAAAAGATTTTATGTTCCCAACTAGTATTGGAAATATTCGACAAAGATTTGCCTATAAAAATTTATAAAGATGCATCATTAGAGGGGATTGGGGCAGTATTGAAACAAACGCAACCAAATGAAAAAGATAAAACAGTGGCGTTTTTTTCAAAGAAACTCAACGAAACTCAAAAAAAGGAAAAGGCTATGTACTTAGAGTGCCTTGCAATAAAAGAAGCTGTTAAGTACTGACAACATTGGCTTATAGGAAAACAGTTTACTGTATACTCAGACTACAAACCTCTTGAAAATATGAACATCAAAGCTAGAACAGATGAAGAGATAGGAGACTTAACGTATTATTTATCGCAATATGATTTTAAAATAAAGTACATTCCAGGTAAAGATAATATAGAAGCAGACTGCTTAAGCAGAAACCCAGTATTAGAACCACAAGAGAACTATGAAGAACTATTAAAAATAGTTAATTTAATAAGAATCGATGATATATTAATAGACCAAAAAGAAAATAAATTATTAAGAAATGGTAAACTTCATTTGATAAAAAAAGATGAGATTTATTATAAAAAGATAAAAAGGAGAGAAAAAAATTTATTATCAGAAGAGTTTAGCAAAAAACTTATAAAACAGGTACACGAGGATCTTTGCCATATTGGAATCAGACAGTTACAAAAAAAAATTAGTACGATATACACAGCGAAGAACTTAACGAAAAATATAACAAATATCTGTAAACACTACGAAGTTTGCGTTAAAGATAAGTCAAGAGGACAAGAAAAATATGGATTACTGTCACAATTAGGACCAGCAACAAAACCATTTGAAATCATGTCTATTTATACTATTGGTGGTTTCGGTGAAATTAGATCAACAAAAAAATATCTACACCTTCTGGTAGATCATTTCACTAGATATGCTTTTATTTCAACCTCAAAAACGCAAAGTGCCAGTGATTTCATTAAACTAGTAAAGAATGTACTAAAAATCGATAAAATTTAAAATTTAACTAGTTAAGAATGTACTAAAAACCGATAAAATTGAGTTAATTTTTACAGATCAATATTCAGGAATCAATTCAAGAGAATTAAAAAATTTCTTAAAAGAAAATAATGTGAAATTAATTTTTACAGTAATAAACACCCCCTTTTCGAATGGATTAAACGAGAGACTAAACCAAACACTAGTCAACAAAATAAGATGCAAGTTGAATGAAAAAAAATTAAAGAAAAAGACTTGGACTACAGTGGCTCACGATTGTGTTGATAAATATAATGAAACGGAACACTCAATTACAGGCTTTGCTCCACAATATTTGCTAGATGGCACTGATGTTACTGTATTACCGAAGAAATTAAAAATGGAAAAAAAGGAAAGGACTCGATAAAAGATAAAAAACAAGCTTTAAAAAGTACAATGAAATCACACGATGACAATAAAAGACTATTTGATAAAAATCGAATACATTGTGATTTCAACATAGGAGACAAAGTCTATGTAGAGAATGGAAACAGACTAAATAGGAGAAAATTAGATGAGTTAAGAATTGGGCCATACGAAATAGTAGAGAAAATATCAACTATTTACAAAATAAACACGGGAAAACAGAAAATAGAATCAACTTTGTTTCATATAACTCAACTACAACCAGTAATATCGGATGACGAGGGGACAGATGAAAAAGAAGAAATGAATACGGAATAACGAGATGGTGGCTGCTTCTTGCCTTGGAGGGGAGATGAAAAGAAATAATATTTCTTAAATTCGAATTTCATTACGTTTCGCGCGGTTGTAGAGTGACTGCCGAATACGTAAAGGGGAGAGTCACTGATAGAAAAAGATAAAGAGATAGATAGATATATAGTTACATGAAAAGGCACACGTGTATGATTAAAATAAGTTAAATAAAATTTAAAAAAGATCAACTAATAAATGAAGAGTGAAGAAAGTGTAAATAAAGAAGTGATACAGAATAAACTTTAAATGTTGTTTCTTTGTTTACAGGTGAGTTTGTACATAATGTAAATAACTGTGTAATTCCATGAATAATAAAAACTTCCTTTGTTTACAGAGAAACAATTTCTAGTTTATTTTAAAAAACCCTGAATAAATAATTGTCTTCTATACATATTTGTAATTAAATATCATATATATGTACAATGTTTAATTGTTATACACTCTTCTATATAGCTATGTATACGGTTATTACACTTTAAAAAAAAGTGAGGGGCGGCCGTAAGTGCGTGGAGAAAGAGACAGAAAGCCGAGCCGACCCGAGTGAAACCGGAGATCGTGCCATCGCTCGGTCGCTTCATCGCGTCGGTCGAACTCCGAAGCGCGCCGTAAGATGTTTCACATCAAAAAATTTAGTGTACTTACAGAGTAAAAATTATGATTCTTTTGATTACGAGCCCATTACCTAATATTTTGAACGACAGAAGTTTTATATACACACGATTAATCTTTTTACACAACGGATTCATACGAAAGCATTCAATTTTAGTGACTCAGAAGTTCTAAAAACCATGGGAAAGGAATAAAATTTACGTAGTCTAATTAATAAAATCAGGAATAAAGTTATCGTTGAAAAATATCAAGTTTTGACCAAATTAAAAAAACACAAATATAACCAACCTCTTTAAAAGTTCTTTGCGTAAGAAGGTGACGTTTGATTCTTGACAAAGCTTCATGTGGATTGTCATAAGCCTGTTCAATCAATCCAAGTTCCTCTCGTTGACTTTGATTTAACCTGGACTTGACACTGTAGGCTTCTTTCAACCTTTCTAAAGCTAAAATCAGCAATTTGGTATCGTGCTTGTAAGATAAAGGAGGAAATGGAATTGGAGCGAATCTTCGAGATTCTAACCAATGTACAGTTGTAGTGTAAATAGCAACTGCTTCCTCTGGTGAAATGTAAGGCCCATCCTTCAAGAAACAAGAAAATAAAAATGAAAATATTAAGAGGTGCATTTACTTATTAATGTTACAATTATTCAAGATACTTTTAGTACCTTCAGGTAATTGTGCTGGCGTTCTTGCTCTGCCTTCAGATAAAGACGAGTTAAACGTCCTAAATTCTTTTTACATACAGTTTTGTCGACAGTTGCACCTCGTCGAATACGCTCACGATTGTAATGCGCTGTATTAGTCCACCAGTCAGCTTTCATTTTAACGTAACGAAGAATCATGTTTTCAATAGGAATGGGTAGTCCTGGAACCTGAAAATCAGAAATAGGAGAAAACTTTGTCAAAAAAATAAAATGTAAACAAACAGAAACAGAATAAAATCTTAACCGAACAGTATTAGTTTTAAGTGTTAAAATGAATAATTAACCTTCCATGGGATATTAGCTTTCCAGCATCTCCACGCTTCACTTAAGTGTTGCAAAATTGTTCTGGCCTTGTTTTGCTTTATACCTTCAGGCATCATATCAACGATATCGTGCATAACAGATGCTCTCAATTCAAGATCAAAATGCGACTCAACTCTTTGCTTGGTAACAGTTTTGGCCACGCCCTTTGAATGTCGCCCTTCAAACTGTCTCGACAGCAAGTTACCTAGCCATCTTTCAAGCAGTGGTGTAATACCACGCATAAAAAAGAGCCACACTCGCCAGCCAGGTGCCCAAAAACCGCATCCAGGACCTTTGCCAACTGGACCCTTAAAAAAAATAATAAAAAAATAAAATACTGAACCNATAATAAAAATTTTAAAAAACAAAATAAAAAAAACACAAGTAATGAAAAGATTTGACTGTACATTTGTTTAAAAATTAAGGGAAAAAACTTACAGTATTAAACCGATAATATATTAAGTGCTTTAAGTCTTTGCACATTCTAATTTGTCTCATTAACTTGTATTTGTATCTGTACATTCCAGTTAACTGCCCAACGTGGGCAAATATGTATTGCAAACCGTCGGCAAGTTGGAACGCATCAACATTATTCAAGCGATATTGAACATGCGAGTCGATGATTAATTTTGTAAGCCTTAATATTTCACGACACAAATGGAATGCTGAAATAATAATTGAGATTCATTAATTAAGTAATAGTGTACACTTAAATAGAAAAAAATGTTACCCTTTTAATCTTAAGCTATTAGTGTGTTATGTAATAAAAGAGAAAAAGGAAATAATTATTAATAAAAAAAAATGTTAGCATGTTATTGACTTAGCCTTTAAAATGAAGAATAAATATTGCTGTGTTAATCTGGAGTTATGGGTACAGGATCAAAGTAAAATTTAATAGCAACAAAGAACAATTGAACGAACCATTTCCGAAGCGTGACTTTTTTCTTTCCTTGGTTGTGAGGGTTTTGCTTGGCTTCAAATTAAAATTGTAATCAAGGTGAAGGTAATTAAGGTTCTTGCGGTGAATAAGCAGGTTCAGCATGTTATACCCTTGTCGGCAGACTTGGAGGCCGGCTTCGACCCAGTCAAGCGTCGTTGTCTGGAAGAACTTGGTGGACTTGAAGGAGCGGAAAAGATAGCGCTTTTTCTGTGGCTTCGGGTGTCGATGCTTGAGGGCGTTGAGCACAAAATATTTTAGCAGTTTTTGATAGCTGACACGCACCTTGACAGGCTGACCAGGCGGACAGTGCTCTCGGTACCAGGACTTGACGAGCGGTATGTCGATGGCCCGTCTTGTTCGGCCAGAACGTGTATTGAACGGACGTGGTGCCCACAACAGAGCTATCCCGTTAGCCGTGTTATCTGTATAAAGTGGTGTTTCCTGCAAAAATGGCTGCACCTCCTCAGGCAAGACAAAATCTTCATCATCTTCGATAATTGGCTCAACGGTCTAAAATTATTCACACGTTATCGTTAGTTAATCTAAGTTGTACAAATTCTTGTTTATCTGTATTATTTTAAGATCGAATGATAAACTTTTATTACATTTTCAATTAAATTTACTTTAACTACGTATAACACAATGTTTATACAATTCTTGAAATGTTTTTGATGTGCTACGTTACAGAAAGTTCAACATTGACTCTGGAGTCAAAGATAGGCCAGAAAAATCAGCAAAAAACGGTGGAAAAAGTCTCTTATGCGTAATGCTAACACCAATTCGAAACCAATAAACAACAGTCCTATGACCATTACATGTTTTGGAGGTAACCTAAAGACTGTTAATTACCAATCAGAATTATTAAAATTGGATAATTTCTCTTTCAAATAGTCGAAGTAAACAGCTGAAATTTTTTTTGCACTCTACTAATAATTATCTTAAAATCTAAAAATTAGTTAGAGGATCAAGAAAGTGTATAAGTTATCTAAATTGTTTTAGAAAGAAAAAACTTAAACTTTTCAAGAAAATCCACTTATTTTTTGAACGGCTTTAAACATGTGCACTTCAGTCGTACAATGCGTAACATAACCTGTTCAATATGATATATATATATATATATATATATATATAGACTGTTACGTCGGCGTAACGGATA